ATTTGGACAAGAACATTTCACCAGGATGAAGAAAGCTGTTTTATAAAAATTCTTTAGCTTACTTGCACTATTTTAACTAACTAGTTAAGATCAACTTGTGCTGTAACTCCTGCTACTGCTGCAGCTGTATTTCCTCTCTTAGCTCAGTATCTCAGTGACACCTAATGTTTGGCGGCTGTAATACACCTCGAGGAACAAAGCAAAACCTTTCTGAACCAGTTTAATAATCTGATTTGTAAACTAATAGAAAGCTGATCAGTCTTCAATGTAGCGTGCAAAACTAATTATATATTATAAATCCATTCTTGGTATTCAAAGTCATTCCACTGTAAGGTAGAATTAATAAATAAATAAATAGAAATCCACACACAATCCAAAGATACATTTTGCTCCATTAAAAATAAAGCCATGAAAATTAGAATTATACATAGTTTCTCGGGACATACAAGCAGATAGTTTCCTATATTTTGGTTAAAATGTTCTTAAATTTTGGTGAAAGTTCCCAAATTTAGGAAAAAGTTACTAAATACTAAAATTTAGTAAAGTATACTAGGTCTTACTCCATTTCTGTTAAACCTTCCTTCAAATGCAAAAGCTCAGCAGTTGTTTTTTTGTCTTCCTCATCTCCAGCTAACAATATGCAATCAAGAGGGGAGAAGCCAGCTCTCCCACACTCCAGCAAAACTCAATGTAATTTAACTTTTGGTGTACAAATTAACATTATTTTCTATTATACCAAGCTACTGCTATATAAACATGTCCTACATAGCTAACCAAAAAGTTACTAAAAATATATAAATTTCATAAAAAAAAAAAAACCCACAGGGAAAGAACTCCATCCTCTCTACATTATTTTGAAGGACAAGGTGTTATGAGCAATTTTTTCTTTAAGTTAAGAATTTTATGACCTACTGTATTAAACTTTATTCTGTAGTTTCAAGAAATGGGGGAAATTCCCCAAATTAAGACCATGTGCTCATAAACCACTCTGAAACACAAACTGCAGGGTGTGTGTATGACAGCATGAAATCAAACCCATATGCACACATAGACTTTAATAAAATTAAAATTGCAAATCATGTACATGACAAACATGTGACTGCAAAATACTATTAATACTGTCATACTTGTGGTCCTGGGACAAACAAATTCTTGTCATATTTTTCCACCTTTATTCCTTTCTGTAGGTTTGAAAGATTTCTGTTCTTTCTGGGACACAAACTACTCCATGATGTCAAACACTACTCTGAAAATTTACTTAACAGAAATAATTTGTAGAAGCCCTCAAATCTGAAGGTACATGAATTCAAGTATTTGGTCTATGCTCAGTGTTAAGATGAGCGTGTTACACACAAACCGTATGACATTGATGGCAAATGTCACCTCTTCCCGCTTCAATAGGAAAAACTGAAATATTAAAGTAATAACACAACATCACAAACAAAAAAGCCTGTGGCACAGAAGTGAGCTCTGTACTTACAGGTATGCTCCAGACTTGCATTCCATCGCTGTAGCCGATCATTAGCAGTAACGGTGGCTCATTCCCGGTGCTGTGTATTTCATGAAACTCCATATTCCTTGATGTATCTAAATTGGGTTTAAATATCAAAGCCATTATCAACAGGTTAGGATCAACTATGGCTGCTGTTGGTTATACTAGAAGGTATTTTCTCAATGCATGTTTCTGTTGGCATAAGTAAAAGCAAGCAAAGTGTTTACATTTTTATGCTGGAACAATAATGAAATATATTCTTTTAGGCAAACATATTTGTTAAAGTTTCACAGAAAAGCATTAAAAGTTAAAATGATGGAGAAAAATTTGGGTTACAGTGTGGGTTGTCACACCCAAAATTTCTGTAATTCTTTCTCCAGTCATTAATAAAACATGGCAAACTTTTCAAATAGAGAAAAATTTGCAAAGGACCAACAAAATAAACATTAACAAATACAGAAATCACAAATACATAGATTGGTCCAAACTATTTCTGGGTACCATGTAATTAATCTTTACATCAACCTTACCAAAAGAAGAAAATTCCCAGGAAGAAAAGTGCTACAGGACATAATAATCAAAAATATTAAGCTTTTAATGAGAAAAGCCCTCTAAAACTACATTTTCAACCATGTCAGAATGAACAAAAGCTCACTGCAAGTATGGAAGCACCAAAGAAAGAGAGGAAATATTTAGGATGGTGAAATAGGGTGTATCCAGGCCCAATGAGATTAGGCTGCATATAAGTAAAATTAAAGAGAATATGAAAGATGTTGAATAACATGCTAAAGAGTTTTTGTTTTACTGTAATAAAGAACCTAAAGAGGGAATGCCTGAGATTTTTTTTTTAAATAAACACATGAGGAAAACAAACCCAAAAGCAAACAACCTTTAACTAGCCTAAAGCTGGACATAACGCCATGTACAGGCTGACAGGCCTTTTCTAGTTCTAATAACCATGAATTTATGAACTGCCAGCCTCTGTGCCATTTCAACAGCTGGAAAACATATAATCTTCCCTATTAACCTCTTGGAAAGGCTGAACATTCCCCATCACAGCTCTGGCTATGGCTGCTATTACTTCATCCGAGACCAGAACAAGCCTTCACCATAGAGCTCTAGACAGGAAAATAAGCAGACAAGAAACAGCAACGTGCTGAGAGACTGAAATTCAGTGTTCACCAGAGGGCAGGTCCCTTGGTTCCCCAGCTACGACAAGCACACGTCTCACACACCACAAGCAACTCAAGATATTCAATTAATTGAAGAAGCAACTACCTGATTGCAGCATTCAACCATCGCTCATTCAGTCCCTAACCTTCTTTATTCAAAAAGTGTAACTGGGATGGACAGGTCAGACAGCTCAGGTCTTCAGTTGGGATCTGCTTGATACTCTTAGCAAATGCTTCTAACAATCACCACTTTCTCTTAAAAAGGCTGGAGCTCCATTTTCTGCACTAAGTCAGAAGTCTTTGCTGCTGATTTATTAAGATACACTGGGTGTGATAAACAAGCTACAGTTTAAGAATACTTTGTGGTTTTGCTCTGTTATTTCCCTGAAAGACATCATGGCATCTCCTGCTCATTTTAACCAACTACTCTTCCGTTCTAGGTTACTCTGAATTCTATCACATCACTGAAAATATATCTGGGACCTGGAATGGATTCACAATTAGATAACCTGGCTTTGAAATCAAACATGAGATGAAATAAATTCAGTTCTATGCTTTGTTTTCAACTACCTTAAGGAAAATAAATGGATTTTTTTTTTTAATTTGCCCCTCTTCCTAAGCAAGAGTTAGCCTGCCTTTAAATGAAATCACAAAGCCTGTTTGTTCTCTTTGGTAGATAGTGAACAAAAGTGCAGTTACTCACTTAGAATTAAGTTTACCTAGAACAGGGAAATTAAATACTTAATTTGGAGTCAACAATGCTTACAGATAAAGCTGACTGAAATTATTGTACATGGATCCAAAAATCACAAAAATAAGTGACAGAAAATGAAGCCATACCATTTAAATCTGCATTTTCAAATCTGACCCAAATGATCTTCTCCTTTTCTTCTGCTGGTGGGGTACCGCTGTAGGCCTGGACAAAAAGCAAAAGGGTTGAAACAAGGAAGTTTAACACCCTTTTTTCTCCCTCTATAGACCATAGGGGGGAATGCAAGTTAAAAAAGAAAACCAGATACATGTATGTTATTGTCACCAGTACTCCTGTCAGGTTTTGTTTCAAAAATAAATGGTTCCATGATCAACATACACCATATCAAATATAACTCAACAAGGTAACATCACTTCCTAACACAGAAATGACAAGACATGTAACAGTGAGTCTTCTGGAGCTCGTCAGAAATGCTACGTGACTTACAGCAATTTAGGGAAGCTAAAACACAGTGGTTTCTCCAGTCGTTAACATCAGCAGTTACACATTACTTCTAAAAACAATGTTAGAGGTTCTCATGGGAGGCATTTTTACTTTTTAAATTCTCCTTAATTCACTTACAAGCTTTGTAAGCGAGATTGAGGAACGAAAAAGACCTTTACTACATAGTTTATTCTACTGAATGTTTTAGTTATGTTTGTGACATCTTTAATATAGCCATTTAAAAGAGAATAAACTGTAATTCCAGTAGAAAAAATCCACTTTTCATTCTATGTTCTACAGATTCCCATAAAAAGATGGGATACAAAAAGGAAGGAGACTTGCAGTGTTTCCAAACTGCAGGTTCTACAGTTCTCAAGAGAAACCGTGGTAGTAAGAACATGTGCTACAGTAGAAAAACCATCACTTCCAAATGAATTATACCAAACTACTGTGCAGTATTTTGGATTAAATATGAAAAGAGCTTGTATAATCACTTTATACATGCCAGAAAAGCTATAACATGAACTAAAAACATAAATTTAAAAAATAAGTGTGGGTATTACTTTTCAAAACAAATCACATTCCATGCTTCCAAGGCAAACTGATTTGTAAAATAAAACACAGACTGTATCCTTTAACTACAGGAGAGAAAAAATAGGGGCATGTATGGAATACAGCAATCTTTTAAATGAAAGTTTGACTATTTTTAATTTTGTCCATGAATCCAAAATGCTCTTCACAAATTGATATTACGAAGGGGAATTTTTTTAATATGATTATCGAGGAAATTCATGACTAACTAACCAAGATAATTCTTCAAATAAGAACCAAGGTGGTATCCTGAGGCTACAATTAGGTGCAATGCTGCTCCACTATGGAGCAGCTTTCCCAAAGAGTAACAACACAAAATTAGTTTCCCTCTGCTACCCAGAAGCCCACGAGCAACACAGAAGACACTTCTCCAGTTTCATGCTGCTGCTACCTGCAAAAACGATGACCAAGAGCAAAGATCAGCATCACAGCTACTCTCCAGAGAAGATCCCAGAAATTTAAAAAAAAGATAAAAAAATAAATAAATAAAAAGCAGAGCAAGGGCTCCTGTTTTGCACAACCCAGCACGCCAGAGAACAACAGGTTAGGCAGAGCTCCACGGTCCCACAGCAGCCAGGACATTCTGATGCAACTTAAGGAAATAAGATAAAAAAGGGGGGAGTCAAGGAAGTAAAGGAAACTTCCTCTTTTTCAGACAATAACAAAAGCTAAGGTGACAAAGAGTGTCTACCAGGTTGTTCCAACACCAATCCAGCCAGGGGTCATGCATTAGGTTTCCAACTACAACTGAAAAAAAGCCAACGTATTTGTAAGAGGCAGAGCAAGTACTAGGCCCAGTCTCTTCCTTCCCCAACTATCCTATTGCCAAAATTACAGTAAGAAAAGGCTGAAATATTCTTCCTGCTGCTTCTGTCGCAATTCTTCAACTTCTATGGAGCTAAGATTTTCATTTTTATTATCATCTATCAGAGACAAATCCGTAGGCTCAATCTTCAGGCGGTACGCGGTCTGTGCTTTCAAAACCCTGGTCTCAAGATTCACATTCAAAAAAACCCCCAAATTTTGCTTTTGTTTTTCATTTTGGTCCAACTGACACACACTTCAACTGCTTTGTACACCAAAAAAAACCCCAGTTTTAAAGATCTACACATACCTGTGGCACAACATCTTGAAGAAAGGTGACAACACTTTCCATATACGACTGTTCCCTTGAAAACAGAAGGAGAATTTTAGCTACTGCTGAAGTTCAGAAACGCTCGTGAACATATTAAATAAGAGAAATCACCAGAGAAAACACGTACAGTCTTTAGCACAAAGGAAAACACTAAGCACACAATGCAGTTACTTCATATACTGCCAAACACTCTGATAACATAAAAAGTGTCCTAAAAGTCTGTAAAAAGCCAAGTGATACCTGTTTATGAAATAACTGCTTGGTGGAAAAGTATAAAATGTAAGAGTCAGGAAAGAAACCGTGTTCTCCACATCCCAGTGGCTGACTGAAGTAAAACAGGCATTTGGAAAACATTCCTCAGCAGTTTTCTACTTGATTTGCATATTATACCATGAAGAAGAGGACTTAAGCTAATGGCTGGAAGTCTCCTTGTGGGGCAAGTAAACTTTAAGACCTCACGTGCATTACATACAATGGTGAAATAAGTAGTTGTGGTTGGGGGCAGGAGATGGAACAAAACCCTAACTAAGAATAGTGAGAAGGTATTTTCAGATAAGATTTTATAGCTTGGGAAGCTTATTCCTTCTTGGAAGTTCCTTAGCAGCAACGATTTAGAATAATATATAGTGCAAGGTACATTTGTTCTGGTAGATTTGAATTAGTGCTTTTATTATTAGCTTATCCCTGCATGAGTGGTGAGACTCTTGTGTAACTGCTGAGCAATGTACCATCTGAGTTGACTCTATTAGACAGACAGTGTTGAAACTACGCAAAAAGTTTGTGCTTTCTGTAATGAGTAATACTGAAAAGTGCTGGCAACAAGAACTGTCTTTGTAAAGTCTGAAACAATTTTTAAGAATTAATTCTTTAGGTAACAGCTTTGGCAGCCCCCACATCGATTTTTATACTGGCAATCATTCTTCCTATGCTAACTCAAGATTTCCAATAGCAACAACAACAATAAAAAATAGTAAACTAAGTAATCTCGACTCTTGACGTCCAAAGGTGTATTTGCTTTCTTCATGCTTTCAGAAACTGTGCTGTGCAAGATTCTTTTAATAGAAATTAGTGGTCAGTAGTTAAGAATTAGAGTGCCCTGCCCTATACGCAGCAATACAGAAGATATTTCAAGTCAAATGCTGCAACACCTGGGTCAACTTAACTGGCTGACTCCTCTCTGAAAACAAAGATAAATCTAAAACATGAAAGTTTTAAATTTTAGAAAGCTTATTCCAACTCATGACAACACTAGATTTTGTTCAGCAATCCCAGGATTACTGTGTCAAAGTCTGTCTCACTGCTTTAAACTGAGGCCATATAAACGAGCTGTGGTTTCTAGTGCTGATTCTTCTTAGATTTATGTAGGTCACCAAAACTGTCTTTGTAAACTGTCAGAGCCCTTCATTACCTCACAATAACACTTGTCCACAGGTATAGTGTTAAACATAGCGTTTGAAGTTCTCACGCAAATGCCTACCAGCAAGAGTCATACCTAGTTTTTCAGCTCATGAAATGAGTACTTTTTTTTTCCCCCTCCCCAGTATATCTTAAAACAAAGTAAACATTTCAAATAAGGGCCATTCTTCTGCTAGAATGTGCTTACGTGACAGCTTGTGGGCGAACAACCACTCCTCCAGTACATCGACTGGGGCGGCGCGGGGATTCTGTTGCCATGTTTCTTTGCAGACACCTGTAAGAAACACATTTCCTTTTAATAATCATTTGTATCAGGATTATTTATTACATTAGCTCACAACATATTCTTTAGGATGATGAAAATCTCTTGAAGAAAGAAACTTGAGTCATACAAACCTGTAAGGCACTATGACCCCTTACAGCACTCTTACTGGAAAAAGAAGTTTGGGTTTTTTTTAATCTCAATCACTACAGCTCCCACAATGCATCTGAGAGCAGAAAAGAATAAAAACCTACATGATAAAGTGGAAAATTTTATTCAAGCTGTTTGTTAAAGATAGAGGTACAGGTACACAGTTATCATCAGCATAATATACGAACATTATTTACTAATGAGGTGTTGTCTTAGAAAACTATTATATAGAAACAATGTACAATCACAATTGCAGTGTAAAGTACTCTTGAAAATCCGCAATGGTTTACGCTGAGGTGAACACAAGAAGGATGGGGGAACACAGTCTACTTTTTTATGTCAGCTTTTTGTGCCATGTTCAAGTTTTTCTTCACACTTCCATTCTTCCATGTAAAAATTCACATAGCATTCCTGGAGGCAAAAAACACTTGAGGAGCCCCATAGATCCCAGCCACATCTTCAGTCCATCAGCTGCTCCACTGTCCCCCCTGCCTCAAACCAAGAATCAGGACATGAAGTGAGAGGAAAAAGCCAAATTCTCAAAGTGGTACTAGTTATTGGCATTGTTTCACATTTGGGCAGCCTTTGGAAGGGCCATTTCATGAAGTGAGGGAAGGGAAAACGCACAGCCCCATAGAAATTAATCACAGAATCAGACTGGTTTGGGTTGGAAGGGACTTTCAAGCTCATCCAGTTCCAACCCCCCTGCCAGCAGCAGGGACACCTTCCACTAGACCAGGTTGCTCAAAGCCTCATCCAGCCTGGCCGAGAACACTTCCAGGGAGGGGGAACAATAACAAAGCGTTCAGCAATACGACTGTACAATACAACACAATTGTACAATACAACAGAACTGTACAATACAACACAATACAAGTTTGACAGACTTGCCGAGCAACCGTGAAAGAAAAATAATATCACGTCAAGGATAAAACATCCCTTCATATGAATCCCTAATGGGGAGGGAGGCTG